ACCCTTGCAAAGCCAGCAGGTCAAGGCACTTAAGGGAACGCACCCCTGCCCCAGCCCTGGAATGAACTGTAGGCAAGACGAGCACCCCCAAGGGGACAGTTGCCTGCCCATACACAAATGCCAGAAGCTTGGGGAATAAACAGGAGGAACTGGTCCTCCTGCTAAACAAGAATGACTACAACATCATAGGGATAACAGAGACCTGGTTGGACCCCACCTATGACTGGGCCACAGGTATAGATGGCTATACCCTGTACAGGCAAGATCGTGCAGATAAAAGGGGTGGGTGTGTAGCTCTCTATGTCAAGGACAGCTACACATCCCTGCAAATTGACATTGGCACCCAGGAAGGATGTCTGGAGTCTCTCTGGTTTAAAATACATGGGGAATGTGGCATGGGGGACATAATGGTAGGAGTCTACTACAGACATCCTAACCAGAAACAAGAGCTGGACCAGGAATTCGCCAGGGAACTGGCTGAGGCTGCATGTGCTCGATGCATGGTTGTCATGGGAAACTTTAACTACCTGGACATCTCATGGGAAGAGCATCTGGCCAAATCCGATGGGTTGCAAAGCTTCCTTACATGCATAAACGAGCTCTGACTCACGAAGTCTATGGGCCAACAAGAAGTAAAGCGTTGCTGGAGCTGACACTGGCCAAAGGCAATGACCTAGTCAGTGACCTAAGAATTGATGGGAAACTGGGTGATAGGGACCATGAGCTGTTCACCTTTACTATCCATCGCAAAGCTGGCAAGTTGCTCAGCAATACAGAAGTCCTTGACTTCAGGAAAGCTGACTTTGACAAGCTCAGGAGGCTCATTGTCGAGGCCCTATGGGACCATGACTCAACAGGAAGAGGAGTCCAAGAGGAGTGGTTGCTCCTCAAAGGAGCAATCCTGACAGCTTAAGGGATGGCCATCCCATCTTGGAGGAAGGGTAGCAAAAGGGCAAAGCAACCCCCTTGGCTCAGCAGGGAACTAGAGGACCTCCTACACTTCAAAAGAAAGACTTATAGACGATGGAAGGCTGGAATTACCATCAAGGAGGAGTACTCAGCACTGGTCCATACCTGCAGGGAGCAGATTAGGAAAGCCAAGGCTGCAACCGAGCTCCACCTGGCTTCACATATCAAGAACAACAAAATGTCCTTTTTAGATATGTAGGGAGTTGGAAAAAAAAGCAAGAGTAAGATTGGACCCCTACTGAACCAAACAGGGCAGCTGATACCCGACACCCAGGAAAAGGCCAATCTACTTAATGAGTACTTTGCTTTGGTCTTTCATCAGTCCAATGGGTCTGCCCTGCCTAGCAAGATGTGGGACAGCCTGGGTGAGGGTGTATTTATACCCAGCATCAGTGTTGATCTAGTAAAGGATCAACTTGAGATGCTGGACACCTTCAAGTCAGCTGGTCCTGACAGATTACACCCTAGAATACTCAAGGAGCTGGCAGGTGTCACAGCCCAACCATTGACAAAAATATTTAAACTCATGGCACCCAGGTGAGGTACCTGAAGACTGGAAGAAGGCCAATGTGGTACTCATCTTCAAGAAAGGGCAGAAAGTAGATCCCGGGAATTACAGGCCAATCAGCTTGACTTCAATCCCTGGTAAGATTCTGGAGAAAGTTATCAAAGAGACCCTACTGGATAAGCTGGCTGAGGGCAACATCTGGGGCGGATAGCCAGCATGGGTTTGTCATGGGTAGGTTTTGCCTGACCAATCTCATCTCCTTCTATGACCAGGTAACATACCACCTGGGCAAGGGAGAAGAGATTGATGTCGTATATCTGGACTTTAAAAAATCCTTTGATCTGGTGTCCCATGACCTCCCCATGGAAAAATTGGCCAACTGTGGCCCTGGCTACACCACAGTCCGATGGCTGGGAAATTGGCTCTGAGGTCAGACCCAGAGAGTAGTGGTTGATGGTAGTGAATCATTATGGCACTCCATGACCAGTGGTGTCCCCCAAGGCTCTGACCTCGGACTGGTTCTCTTTAACATCTTTATCAAGGATGTGGACATTGGTGTCAGAAGCTGACTGGCTAAGTTTGCTGATAACACTTAAACTTTGGGGCATAGTGTCCACACCTGAGGACAGGCTAGTGATCCAAGCTGACTTGGATAAACTTAGCAAGTGGGTGGATACAAACCTGATGACATTCAATACCGATAAATGTAAGGTACTCCACCTCGGGGGGAAAAAACCTGCATCATGCTTATAGGCTTGTCAGTGCTACGCTTGCTAGCACCACTGCTGAAAGAGTCTTGGGGGTCACGATTGACCAAGGTGAACATGCGCCACCACTGCGATGTCACAGCTGGTAAAGCAAACCAAACTCTGGCTTGCATCCATAGATGCTTCTCAGGTAAATCTCAGGATGTCATCCTCCCATTGTACTTGGCCTTGGTGAGGCCACAGCTGGAGTAGTGCATCCAATTCTGGGCTCCTCAATTCAAGAAAGATGTCAAGAAGCTTGAGAGAGTCCAGAGGAGAGCCACACGCATGATCAGAGGACAAGAGAAAAGGCCTTATGATGAGAGGCTGAGAGCCATGGGACTCTTCAGCCTGGAAAAGCACAGGCTCAGGGGTGACCTGGTGGGAGGCCGTAAGTACATAAGGGATGTACATCATGATCTGGGAGAACATCTGTTCACCACAGCGCCCCAAGGTAAAACAAGGACCAATGGTCATAAACTCCTCCAAGACTGTTTCAGGCTGGACATAAGAAAAAAATTACTGTCCAAGTGCCCAAGACCTGGAACAGATTCCTTCCAGAAATGGTGCAGGCACCTACTCTGAACACTTTCAAGGAACATTTGGATGCTTATCTTGCTGGGATCCTTTGACCCTAGGTGACTTCCTGCCCCTGGGGCAGGGGCTGGACTTGTTGATCTTTTTCAGCCTTAACATCTATGAAATCTATGATTCTATAGGAATGTAAAATATTATGAGTGTATATTATCATAAATAATCAACTAAATTACCTTTGTGGTGATAGTGGTGGTTTTGCTATTTTAACTCCATACTCTTTTGGGAGATTACTATACATGCTAATTGACAGTTCCGTTAAATGTCAGCACAGATTGTCATACTCTCCATTAAATGCTGAAATCATCTCATATTTTTGCTTTAACAAGAATAGAAAACAAGCAGAAACATTTGTTTTTGCTTCTGATCTTTCATGTGCATTGCACATTATATTTCATATATACAAATTAATGCATGTGATATCAGAGTAATTTAGGTACAGTAACAGTTCTACCATTATTCCCTGTGTTTTATTTATTTATGTATTTATTTACAATGTTTAATTCCCACATTTCCCTTATCTCTTTCAGGCAAGTATGTGCTTATGGTCCATGAAGTAACCATGCCCCCATTTTTGGGCCAGACTCTCCCACCAGCCTTCAAACTCTTAAGGGTTTTGCCAGAGAAAATCAAAAACAAGAAAGCGACCAGCAAGTAAAGAAGGAACATAAACGTTCAGGAATTCACAGGCTGTGTCCAATGCACACTGTAGTTTGTGGAGGTTTTACCACTGAGTACAATAGGAGTTGGACTGATCCCTTGGGCCTCAGATGATGTAGGTTTTGAAAAAAGGGGTATACTAACAGCAAAGAAATAATTGACCAACAGAAATCCATTTCACAAAGTGTCCTACCTAGTCACATTTTAGATGATACATCCGTATTTATGAGATGGAGAGAAATGTCTTTGATGAATCCTATTTTTCATCATTATATAAGTTGTATGTATTTTTAACAAAATTCTATTAAAATAAACTGAAAATTCAGGCCACAGTTTGATCAGATAATGATGCCATAAAAACTGGTGAACCATCTGAACAGCTAATGGGTAAAATCATACATAGCAAATTAACTTTTATGACCATGGTGATCACCTCTCTTATAACACATTTATGAATATATTGTTTTGTGGATAAAAAGTCTTGTTCATCTAATTCACATGAAAGACACTCACTGCCTAAAAGATGACAACCAGGCAGCTGTCTTGTCTCCTGAAACTGGCTTCTGTCTTCAGTGAAGGAGGATCAAAGTTAGATTAATTATTCCAGAAAGGCCATTGCCAAATAGTCCATAAATGAAGCTAAACAATGGTAGAGAAATGCTGAGTTCATGTGGTTGGAACATGTTTGGGTTTGATGACAGTTGCCACTGAACATACAAGTGTTTTCACGCCAACTAAACAATCAAGATTCAGTTGTAGAACACCTGAAAGTTGGCAAGCAAAGGGAAAAGGACTGCATTCTGATCAGAAAAGGGACAATCAAAACAGAAAAAGATTTGAAGAGCATCTCTAGAAAATCAATATAATTAATATTTGACTAGGGCTTTTCAGTATTGAAAATGAAACTTTAACTGGAAAAAGTATGATGGGGGCATGTATATTAAAAAGGAAAATAGGATGAGTTTTTTGATGCATCTATTCCTTGATACAGAATGCTTAATTTCCAGGCATCAGTTCAGCTTTGCAAAAATTATTTATCAAGATTGAATCCCTAGCTGATATCTGTACTAAGTGCAGTGACTGACTACAGACTGCATAGAGCCTTGATAAGGAACAACTATCTACTGGCTTTATATGCTGCCAAATACTGGAATGTTCATATATTCCCTGTCTCAAAGACTTTCATTATTTCACCTGAAGAATAAGCCAGAGATCCTCTGTTGGTTTCCACAGTTTAAACTGTTGCCTTCGTGTGCACAAGGGAGCCTGGCAACTTCTGAAAATAGATGGACAAAATGAATCCTTACAGATAGGTTCAGATTCCAATCACAACACTAAGTCAAGATCATCCTGGTGGCCCTATCTTAATCACTCTCATCGAAGTCAATGGTAAAGCTCCTATTAACTTCTCAGGGAGCCAGATGAAGCCCTATATCTAACTCAAAACAAGATAGGCAAGCTCACCCTGAGGAGTCTGTATTGGATAGACATCACCTTGGAAACACAGATGAGGCAGTAAATATGTGCTGCAAGGGATCTCGGTAGCCTCTAACGACTTGATTTTTTTCCACTTTGGGACATGTCAGGACTTCATGACTCAGTTCTTTCACCGTTGTCCATTTTGGGACTTTACGTTTGAAGTCCAAAACTTCATATTTCTCATCCTTGCTTTGCTACAGTTTTTTATATTATTTTGCGACAATAATACTAATTATTACAGGTAATACAACTTAGCAACTTTCTCACATTTTTCCTCCAAAAAACCTCAGTCAATGCATCTCATGAAGTTGTATCAAGTCTCAACCAGGTAGCTTTGTGAAAGAGATTGAGACTGGGTAGCTTCATGAGAGAGAGTCACTAAGCCATCCAAAAGTGCTAGTGTTTGATGCAAAAATTACTGGCTGAAAATTGTCACCTAAATTACAGAGTAGTTTAAATTATATGATCACAATGGTTCCTTCTTGCCCTAATTTATAAATCTTAGACCATTAGTGAATTATGCTTAGTTCACTAAACATAGTGAACCATAGTGAAACACAGTGGACCATTAGACCACTGTGAACCATTAGTGAACAGGACCTATGAGGAGAGACTTCAGCATCTAGGACTGTTCAGCCTGAGCAAAAGGGGCAACTTGATAGCCACCTACAAATATGTCAAGGGAGAACACCAGGACTTGGGTAGACAACTTTTAAGGGAAGACATGGATCAATGGACACAAGTTAGTCAAGGAAAAGTTTTGGCAGGACACAAGGAAAAACTTTTCTGTATGGGTAACTAGAATCTGGAACACACTTCCAGCAGAGGTGGTGCAATCGCCATCTCTGGTGGTCTTAAGAGGAGGCTGGATAAATACTTCGATGAGCTCATTTGAACCCAATTACATCCTGCCCATGGCAGGGGACCGGATTTAATGATCTTATAGGTCACTTCCAGTCCTTCTTTCTATGATTCTATGTAGCCACGTCAACATGAGACGCTGACTGAGACGCGTTGTATGGCAGCAACCATGGCACAATGCTATGGCACAGTAGTTTTGGGCTACTGCTTAGTCAGTGTCACAGAAAAGCTGAGAGTCAGCTCTACTGTGCAGTAATTTGGGTTACTCCACAGTCATTTAGCACTTGTTTATACAATTACAAAATGGCTGTGCAGTAATGACTGTGCAGTAACAACTGCACAATTAGCATGTGTAAACTTGGCCAGGGTGTAGCATCTAGGGCTGTGCAAAGCTTTGGTCACTGATTCGATTCAGTGGAGAGTCAGCTCAATTCGGTGGCTGAATCTCCTAATCCAAATTGAATCAGAGAATGCTTTAATCTCTCTGAATTGAATTGGAACCCTACAAATTGATTCAGAGAGATTCGGAAACATTCGGCGATTTGGACATAGACACAGCTTTAACTGTTTTTTCTACATTCCTCTAGGTAGCAGGTGGCTCGTGAGTGCTGCGGTGCTGGGGTGCATGGAGTGTGCCACAGAAGTGCAGGGGGCTCCCCAGCACGTTTGGCAGCAGACCCGGAAGTGGACCAAAAGCACTTCTGGTCCACTTCCGGGTCCACCAGGGAGCGTGCAGGGGGACCCCCCTGCACTGCTGGCTCAGTGACTGGTGCCTCCTGGGTCCCCCTGCGGCCAACTGCCGAGCCAGGGAGGCGCGGGGGGGAGGGGTCCAGCACACTCCCCGGCTGACCCGAAAGTGGACTGGAAATACTTCTTGTCCATTTCCAGGTTCACTGTTGAGCACATGGAGGAACCCCGCCCCCCACGCACTCCTGTGGGACGCTCCATCTGCCCCAGCATCACAGCATTCACAAATCACGCTGGTACCTCAAGGTATGTAGAAAAAACTTTAAGAACTGTGTCTGTGTCCGAATCGCTGATTCTCTGAATCAGCATCAAATCTTCAGATTTGGATTCAGCCGAATCGAATCAGGGACAGTGACCCGAATCAATAAATCGAATCACCGTCCCTGATTTGAGCCGAATCCGTATCCAATTCGAATAGGGCCTGCTTCGCACACCCCTAGTAGCATCCCTATAAAGTAAGCATATGGTAGCCTCATGTTTTAAATGTAGAAACATGTATGGAGCAGTGACACTTGGCCAGAATGTCATAGTACAGTTTGAGAATACAAACCAGGTATCCTAACACTCAGTCAGTTAACTGTTACAAGCACTAGCCATATAACCTAAATTTCATAGCTTTCATAGACATTAGGGATTGGAAGGGACCTTGTGAGATCATCAAGTCCAGCCCCCTTGCCATAGGCAGGAAGTCTTCTGGGGCCAAATGATCTCAGCAAGATATGCATCCAAATGCCTTAGGTACTTGCACCACCTCTGGAGGGGGTCTGTTCCAGACCCTGGACCCTCGGACTGTAAAGAAGTTTTTCCTTATGTCCAGTGTAAATCGGCCTTCCAGAAGTTTGTGGCTGTTAGACCTAGTTATCCCTTAGGGAGTCCTGGTGAACAACTGTTCTCCCATATCCTGGTGCACACACCCCTTATATACTTATGAGCTGCCACCAAATTCCCCCTGAGCCTTCTCTTCTCCAGGCTGAAGAGTACCATGTCCCTTAAATTTTGCCTTTCCACATCTAACACCCAAATCCAGATAATTTATAAAGATGTTGAAGAGTACTGGTCCAAGCACTGAGCCCTGCGGGACACCACTGGTCACGTTGTGCCAAGTTGATTTGCTCCCATCAACTAATACTTTTTGGGTCTAACCCCAGAGCCAGTTCCCCAGCCATCAGACCATGAGATGGTTGAGGCTTCAGTTCTCCAGCTTAGCCATGAGGACATCATGGAAGACCAAGTCAAAGGCCTTCTTAAAATCCAGATATACATGACATCAACCTCATTCCTGTTGTCCAGGCAATGTGTCACCTGGTCATAGGAGGAGACAAGGTTGGTCAGGCAAGACATTCCAGCAATGAAGCCATGTTGGTTGGCACTCAGAAAGTTGTCTTCCGTTAGCCTGCTGCTAATGGAACCCTTGATCATTTTCTCCAGGATCTGTCCAGGAATGGATGTCCCTTTCTTGAAGACTGGGACCATGTTGGCTCTTTTCCAGTCCTCCAGTACCTCTCCGAAGTCCCACAAGTTCTCACATATCTTTGCCCTAGGGCATGCTATGATGTCTGCTAGCTCCTTCAACACTCGGGTGCATTCTGTCCGGGCCCATGGACTTGTGGATGTTGAGCCTCTTGAGGTGTTCCCTTACTTGATCCACATCAATTGTGGGCCCATCTCCTGCCCCCTGGATGCTTTGCGTCCTATCTGACAAAGTGACTTCTTTGGACGGGTGGAAGACCTACTCAAAGTAATCATTTAGGAGATTGGTCTTTTCCTGAGAGTCAGATGTCAGCCGCCCCAATTGATTTAGCAGGGGTCCAGCGTTGCCTTTGTTTTTCCTCCGACTTTCCACATATCTGAAGAATGACTTTTTGTTTTCCTTGATTCCCGTGGCTAGCCTGAGTTTGGTTTCTGCCTTGGCTTTTCTGGTCTGCTCTCTGCAGGTGCAGGCTAGTGCTGTGTAATCCTCCTTAGTGATGAGTCCCATTTTCCTTCTGGTGTAAGCTTCTCTTTTTAGTTTCAGGAGGTCCAGAAGTTCTCTATTGAGCCAAAGGGGCTTTCCAGGCCACTGACTGCATTTCCTGAGGGATGGAATGGACTTCCCTTGTGCTTTGAGGATTTCATTCTTAAAGAACAACCATTCCTCATGGACTCCCTTTTCTAAAGAGCCATGGTCTCTTAGCACCTGGCTGATTAGTCTCCTGAGTTTCTGCAAGTCTGCATTGGACAGAGAAAGTGATCAACTCATGGTCACTGTCACCAAGCTTCCCCTCGATCTTCAGCTTGCTCGCTCACCGGATCATCCCCTTTGGCCATAACCAGATCCAGCATTACCTCTCCCCTAGTCAGCCCATGGACCTCTTGCAAATGTAGAGCTCATCAGTGCAAACGAGGAAGCTACGTGACCTGTCAGATTTGGGCATGTTCCCTGCCCATGAGATATCAGGGAGGTTGAAGTCCCCCATGATGACCAAGCATTGGGAGCATGCAGCTTCAGCCAGTTCCCTATTGAATTCTTGATCCAGCTCTTTCTCTTGGTTGGGTGGTCTGTATAGACTCCTACAGTTATATTCCCTTCCCCATGCTCCCCCCGTATTTTAACCCAGAGGGTCTCAAGGCTCTCTCCTGGGTTGCTAAACTTGGTTTGAAGGGAAGTGTACTGCTCCTTCACATAGAGAGCTACACTCCCACCCTTCTACCCAACACAGTCTCTCCTGTACAAGGTATAGCCTTCTATACCTACAGACCAGTCGTAGGTGCAGTCCCACCAGGTCTCCATTATCCCTACAAGATCATAATGATTGTCACTCAGGAAGAATGCCAGTTCCTCCTGTTTGTTTCCCAAATTCCTGGTGTGTGTGCATAGGAAGCTGAGCCTGCCAT